CTCGTCAGTGAACAACGGCTCTGTGTAGTTAATGCTGCTCAATGTGAAAGCCCGCAGGTGATGGAGATTTACCGCTGATTACAGAACCGGCTTTACTGATAAGATGCGCGTTAAATATCGCATGCGATTTATCTTGCAGCCCTACTCTGAGTTCTTGTTATATTTTATTACCATTTTCTAAACTATAGCGAATAAACTGTGATAATGTGAGAAATGTTGAAGGTGTCTGAATAAATTTTGGTTTGACTGTATCTATTTGATAAATGAAGTTAACCAAACAACATTATACATACTCTTTTTTTCGTTTCTGTACCCTGTAATATTTTACAGATTTACAAATGCAATAAAAATATTGGTATCGGTACTCTGTATTGGCAAATACCAAAAATAAAAGTATCGGTATCGGGCGAGTACTGGAAAAAGTGGTATCGGTGCATCCCTAGTGTGTACTGTCTATACAGATATTTCAGTGTGGTTTGATAATTGTGCAATGACTTGGTTAATTATGAAGCACATTTTGAATGATGAGCATTCCAGTAGTTCAGAAATCTGTGTGGCTTTCTGGATTCTGTGTTAGTCTGCTCATGTGGCAGGGATCTGTAGAGCTGTAAAACACCATATATTCGCGATTTTTAAAATCTAATTTTGGCATTTCTCTTCTTGAACAGGTACAATGGTTCACTCCCCAATGGAGACAGAGGGCGAAGGAAAAGCCGGTTTGCCCTTTACAAGAGAACCAAAGCCAATGGTGTCAAACCCAGCACTGTACACATCCTTAACACGCCACAAGCCAGCAAGGTAATCTCATATTAGAAACCATAATTGGGAAACCTAATCATCTGTGAAATTTGCTTTTCACCACTTCTCTGTGCTGTGTGCTGCCTTTTTTTTCGTTTGTTTTGATTGTTACTATTATGACTTGAATTAATGCCGATTTCACAGCCAGAATTCCACTTCACATTATCTTTAAAGTTTAGTTTCTCAGAAGATCAGAAATTGGGAGTGAACTTGAATGATGTACAGCTCATTGTGGGAATGGAGAATGTCTGAATGTCTGAGTTTGGGGTCCTACCTTCACTATTTTTTTAATCAGTTTAGTGTCAAATGTAAATAGTTGTAAACACACGCATCCTGATCATTTATGTTTTGAAGTTTTCACATTGGTTAATCCTTTTTTTTTTTATTAAATCATTGCAAATTGTTTGCCCTTCTTGTCTTCAGAAAGATATGGAAATGTTATTCACTACCGTTTCACATTGTTCATGCTTAACTCACATGCCATAATTAATATCACGACACAATCATGCCTAACTCGCCTGGTCCTTTATTTAAGCAGCAATTAACTTACATTTTAACCAAATAAAAAGGTACTCATCTTATTCATTTAAATAATGTTTCCTTTTAGTTAAAATAAAAAAACCGCGCTCAGTTGATCAGTTAAATGTCCATTTTCGCCGATGAAATCAATTTATGCGCGCTGTACGGAACACCATTGTAAGCCTGTACGGAACACCGTTAACCTTTATCTTCCGTACACTGGCATAGGAGGTACTTTTCCCTACTTTTCTCAAAAACTATTCGTCCTAAAGACATCAATCAAAGTGTGGACTGTATAATGGCTATTCCCCCAGGGAATGATCACACAAACATGCTTGTCTGTCTCAACGACGGAGGAGTGGTCGCTGGCGTGTGGTGAATAGCGAAAAGTGTACGGAACATGGTTAGTCTGCGTTACCCTTTTTAAGAGATTGCATTTCTTTTTATAATTTGCAGCAGGGGTGTGTCAACTCTTTTTAGATTGTGCGCCATGGAGAAAGGCTAACTTAAGGGACTGATTTTTGTTTAAAGCATGCCGTTCCCATGCAAGCGCATGATCAACACATGCTCTTCTGAAGCTTGTCAAATGCAGAATCAACTTTATGCAACACAAACTCCACATAGCAGAGAGTAGTACTGTAGAAGAGTATGTTGGTTTCTTGCCCAGTTTAAACTGCAATGCAATGCAATGTTTGGTTAAGAAAGATTTTTTTAGTTACTCCACAGCACTGGTTGTGATAGCATACCTAACCCCACCTTTCAAATGTCTGCTTGCTACTGGGACATTCTTCAGGGATTTACAGGGTGGTACTAAACATAATGGGTAGGGTTGAGTTGTAAAAAGTTTATTGTCATTCAGAGCAGCCTCAGCCAATAAACTAATCTGTGCTGATACTATGAGCCTCCAGATGTTATTAAAATTCACAGAGACTGTCTTTCCCTCTGATACTTGAAGTTTAATGGGTGCTGGAGATCTGTTTGAACACATTTGAGCAGCCAGTCCACAACTTTCAAGTGCAGCCCACATGGTATCTATTCACAATGGTAGTATTTTGATCATAACTTCTATCCCAGTGACTTAACTTTTTGAGAACATGTGATTTTATCCATTTTTTTATTTTATTGTTTTATTGTGGTTGGTGGCTTCTCTGTGATGATTGATGACTCTTGTCGTTTTCCCACTCTTCTAGTCAGCTGAAGGCAAACTGCCAGCAGCCAGCATTGTCTGAGGAGATCTTTCTCAAAGGGATCTGCTTCATTACTGTGTGTGACTCTTGTTCTGTTCAAAAACCTAGTGAGCTGCCTAACAAGACTGCATTTTAAAGGGGTCATCGGATGCAAAATTAACTTTTACATGTTGTTTGAACATAAATGTGCGTTGGCAGTGTGTACACAACCACCCTATAATGATAAAAATCCATCCAGTGGTTTTTATTTAATCCCTAAAAATAATATCCCCTTTTTCAAATCAAGCCGTTCTCAGCTTCTTGTCTGTGTGACATCACACGGACCAAGGCCGCACCCACGATTGTTGATTGACACGGCCGTCTTACCTTTGACCTGCCCTGAGTGAGCTGTAACAGTCCGACCGCCATTGTTTCGATGCCGGAGCAGGGACATAGACAAGAATGGCTCCATAGCGAATTAGGTGTTCTGTTGTTGGATGTAATAATGAACATAGCAGTCGTCATTTACTCCCGACATCTGAGCCGCTGAAGACGCAGAGGATTACTTTCGCTTTTGAAGGGAATGCGCCCCTGATCTACCTAAATGAGTCTGTTCGTGCAAATCATTCGTGATCCAGCCTCACCTACAGAAGAAGTGAGTATAAGGGTTTTTTTGGAATCTTTGCAAATCGCCTTTCCTAATAATGTGCTAGTTAGCAAGTTTCACAGCTAGCTGCGGCTAAAGTAAACTATTGCTCGTCACCCCACAGAAGACAGGGGCAGTGTGATCAGAGCTCATTAGCATTTAAAGGAACATGTAACAAAACGGGTTGCTCTGAAAAGAGCTGATTACAAACATTTTTTTTTTTTTTTTACACTACCATTGAGAAATTAACCAAAGCATGTTATAGACTTTTCATTAAGACCCTAAAGAATCATATCAAATTGTGGAAAATGGGCATCCGATGACCCCTTTTAAGGCATGTGTTTAACTGTAGACAAGAGGCTGTTTAAAGGAGTTTTTTCCTTTGGGCAGGCTCCAAGACAGTATCTCACGTGTCCTTGATAGAAACGACAATCTCAATAATTATGAGCTCAGTGGAAAAAAATTCATAATGTAACTGTTACATTCAGTATCTTTAAAGGATACTTTTCACGGAAATGTTAAATCTAAAAAAAGGTCAAAAAATTATGTATTGTTATGCTTGGAGTATAACAATTCATTGTTACTGTTAGTTTAGCATCATGCTGACATTTAAAAGAAAAATTAATTATTCAGTTTTGTGTAGCACTTGGAATTACTTTTCAAATCGGTCACGTCAGAAACCCCATTTGTATTTTAATAATTAGTAGTAAAGGTGTTACGTTCCCTGGGAGTTTGTTGTTGTTTTTGCTTTTGTTTTCCCTTGTTTCTTTTTTTTTTTTTTTCCCCCAACTCCTAGGTTTCTGCTGAGTGGACGACTTGCCGCCAATCATCATTAGGGTGTTCCATACTGCGATGAATCAGCTGACGGCCCGTGGCTTTAAAAGCTTCCGGTGCGCTCGGCCTGGGAGGCGAGAATTTAAGCAATGTCGTTTTTCCCAGTTAGAGTGACCTTTTTAAAGAGGTTTACAGAGGACAACTATACCAACTTGATGAAGGAGGTCACCTACAAGTGGGCAATTGTTCATTGTAATTGTTTGGGCCACGATCAACAGAGTAGAACCCTAAAGCTATGTTAGGTCGCAGGCTGAGAATAGCCATGGCATTGTGCCACCTTACATCCATTATCCTTCTTAACTGCTCAATCGGTACCTGCCTGATTCTAGCAGGGCTCTGCTTTTCTCTCTCATGTTGTCTGAAATGTAGTCTTCAATAGACTTGCCACAATATCATAATTTACACTGGTATCAGTGTTCAAACCGATATTAGTGTTGGTTGGATGTAGAGGTCTGTGCTGGATGTTTTCTTTTAGGCCCGCTCCCGCGAGGTTATATTCCGCACCCACCTGCTCCAGCGATTGTATTCTCTCTTTGTTCACCCACTGTCCACATCACTGTAGCGCCATTTTGGAGAATATCTGCTGAACGCAAGCAGGATACGCTATTCTGTGTCAGCCGCGACACAAGCAGGGGCGGACTTACCCATTAGGCAAAGGTAGGTGACCGCCTTGGGCCCCCAAAAGCCAAGGGCCCCCTAAAATGCTTTTCATATACGGTGTTACGTTCCCTGGGAGTTTGTTGTTTTTTTTGCTTTTGTTTTCCCTTGTTTCTTTTTTTTTTTTTTTCCCCCAACTCCTAGGTTTCTGCTGAGTGGACGACTTGCCGCCAATCATCATTAGGGTGTTCCATACTGCGATGAATCAGCTGACGGCCCGTGGCTTTAAAAGCTTCCGGTGCGCTCGGCCTGGGAGGCGAGAATTTAAGCAATGTCGTTTTTCCCAGTTAGAGTGACCTTTTTAAAGAGGTTTACAGAGGACAACTATACCAACTTGATGAAGGAGGTCACCTACAAGTGGGCAATTGTTCATTGTAATTGTTTGGGCCACGATCAACAGAGTAGAACCCTAAAGCTATGTTAGGTCGCAGGCTGAGAATAGCCATGGCATTGTGCCACCTTACATCCATTATCCTTCTTAACTGCTCAATCGGTACCTGCCTGATTCTAGCAGGGCTCTGCTTTTCTCTCTCATGTTGTCTGAAATGTAGTCTTCAATAGACTTGCCACAATATCATAATTTACACTGGTATCAGTGTTCAAACCGATATTAGTGTTGGTTGGATGTAGAGGTCTGTGCTGGATGTTTTCTTTTAGGCCCGCTCCCGCGAGGTTATATTCCGCACCCACCTGCTCCAGCGATTGTATTCTCTCTTTGTTCACCCACTGTCCACATCACTGTAGCGCCATTTTGGAGAATATCTGCTGAACGCAAGCAGCATACGCTATTCTGTGTCAGCCTTGACACAAGGATACGTTTTCTACATGTATTTACGCTTTGATTTGAATGAAAACAGCGCATCCGTGCAGCGCGGCTGACACAGAATAGCATACGCTGCTTGCGTTCAGTGGTTATTCTCCAAAATGGCGCTACGGAGATGCGGAGAGACACAGAGGAGACGAACTGTTGAATAAAGTAATTATTTTTGTTTTCTTCGCGTACAAAAAGTATTCTCGTCGCTTCATAACGTTACGCTTGAACCACTGACGGCAGATGGGCTATTCTGACGATGTCTTTCATACTTTTCTGGACCTTGACAGTGTAATTTACTTGGCAGCGAATGGGACCGTCACAAGCCCCCCGGTTTTCATCCAAAATATCTTAAATTGTGTTCCGA